ATCTCTTTCTTCATGGCCGCCTCCCAGAAAACCTTGTACTTGGAACACATCACATCCTTGTACGTCATCGGTACTGCTTCCACACCACTCGGCTTCTGCCCGTTTGGTGAGGTCATACTTAGCTGTGGGTCTGGGAGTGGTTGCGAAGACTCGCTGGCGTCGACCTCGGCCCCGAACGCCTGCTGTTCCGGGCCCAACACCTCCTGCATCTCGCGTCTGTACATCTCCTCCATACCGCGTGTCTGCTCCTCGTGCCACTGCTCCTTCAGAAGCGAGTTGCAGATATAGTACTCAGCAATCCCCGTCCCGCCAGTTTCCAGGATGGTCGCCAGCAGTGCCTCTTCCGGGTCCGGTGTTTCTCCGCGCCTCGGCATCTCCCCGGCACCTTGCATCTCCGGGGTCTGCTTCTGCGTGTGGCCACTCTCAAGCCCATGGCGCAGCGGGCCAGCGTTCGAGGCGCCCCAGAGGAGTCTCTTCCCTTCTAGCCCGCCGGCGTAGCGGTCGTCGGCTGGACCATACTTCAACTCCTCGAGGTTCTCGGAGTCGCCGGGATCACCACCGCTACCGCCGTCCCCACCTGGGTCGCCGGACTCTTCGCCGCCCGGGCCGCCGGCACCGCCGGCGTCACTGCTGCTGCTGTGGGTGGAGCTGTCACTGCCTCCGCCGAAGTCGCCCCTTCCCGAAGGGGCCGACTGGGGAACGCTGCCTCCGTCCCCCGGAATCTCGTTGCCGGGTGCCGTCGGCGCCTCCTCGTGCACAACTGGCCTCGCTTGCCCTGGCCCACGAGCCTCCATCACGTCGAGGTCGGACTCACTCNGGGTGGAGCTGTCACTGCCTCCGCCGAAGTCGCCCCTTCCCGAAGGGGCCGACTGGGGAACGCTGCCTCCGTCCCCCGGAATCTCGTTGCCGGGTGCCGTCGGCGCCTCCTCGTGCACAACTGGCCTCGCTTGCCCTGGCCCACGAGCCTCCATCACGTCGAGGTCGGACTCACTCTCTGAGTCTCTCTGCCCCCCCCAACCTTGGCGTGATGCACCCGCTCTGCTCTGACCCTCCCCGCCTTCCTCGTCATCTGCGAGAGGTAGCAGCTGTCCCTTGGACATCGAACAGCCAAGCCAGGGTAGCAGCGGTCCATCCGTCAGCTGCACTTCCTGCTGCTCCGCCGTGATCCTGAGCAACGTCTCGTGGGCATGACCGTGCGCGAGGTGGTACTCGTTGAGGTCAGTGGGGGTGGGTGGGGGGACTGCCACGGCACAAAACGCCTGGTCTTCCACGGAGTCCACGTCGCTCTCATGCTCCACCACTTGCGCTTGGACGGCCTCTTCCGTCGCGCATATTTATTCGGTGTGGCCCCACCCCTCGCAGCGCGCACACCACGGCACCTTCTCGTTGGTAGTGCAGCCGATCGCTTGATGTCCACGATGTCCACACCTAAAGCACCGGCCCGGGAACTTACAGTCCCCGCCACCGCCGCCATCGACGCTTCCACTGCTGCTTCCCTTGCTCTCCTCGACTCCTCCGGATCCGCCGAGCGGCCGCCGCGACCGCCGCCGCCGCGGCCACGACTGCTGCTGCGGGCCACGGCCGCCGCCACGACCACGACCTTGCCCCTGACTCCTTGAGTACCGCTCCTTACGGCCCTCACCGTCGGCGAAGTACGCTTGCTCTGCGCCCTTCGCCCCTTTTCGTTTCCCCTGCTCCAGCTTGTCCTTGATCGCCTTGTATTCGATCATTACTTCGTTTAGCACACCGCTCCGCGTCAACTCCTTCGCGTGTCGCACGTTGTGCTTTGTCATGGCATACTCGTCCGAGAGGGCATCCAGGAAGAGGTGAAGGACAAACGTTTCGTTGACAGTTAGTCTTTTCTCGGTTAAGGACTTTGCGGTTTGCAGCATCTCATTTAGGGTGTTTTGGGGGCTTTCACCTCTAGAGATCTTGGTCGACGTCAGGGACTTGAGGTCCTCTGACGGCTGTACAGATGATTCAGGGTCGTGTATGGTCTTGAGCTCACAAAGAGCACCCTGGGGCGTCTCTGCCCTCTTCATGATTTTCCGATCTTTTTCTTTCAACGCGTGAGACAGGAAGTTCCACGCGTGGAATGCGAGCTCTACTTGCTCGCTCCGGTACTGCTGTGACAGCGAAAACTTGCTCTTTCCGCTGTTGACGGGGATCTCCAAGCTCCCGCTCTCTTCAAATTGTTCCAACAGGTTTGCGCCATTAGCTGACATGCGAAAATCATTTAGCCATTCGTTGAAATATTTCGATTTCCCGCTGAACGGAGGAGAAGTGTACCGCACTTTGGTACCCCGTCGCTGGGGTTGTGGCTCCGTAGACTATCCAAAGCCAACAGCAGCACCACCATCTCCCATGGCACTACTATGATCTTGGTTGTGAGCAGCGGCTACTCTCACCTCTTGGGGGACAAAGCCCCCTGCTTCGCCGCTGTGTCGCCCTGACGGGCCAGACTCTCGAATAGGTTCGCGCAGGAACCTCCCGTCCTGCGCACTCCCGGTCCACGGTGCCCCTCACTCGGCGTTCGTGGACTCCGCGGCGACGCTCTCCCTAGCATCGCCGCGATCAGCGGCACCCTCCATGGTGCCAGCTGGCTCCTCCTTCTTGCTTGCCGTCATGGTATCTTCCACTAGCCACATTAGCTGGCTCATCTCATCCGTCAGCGAGCTAACTTGCGTCCTCAGGGCCACGAGCTCTTCTGTTGACCTCTTCCTGTCTTCCGCCGCAGAGTCGCTGGAGGAGTCACCCCGATCTTTTCGACCTGACATTCCTAATGGACTCTCCCTCGAGGGACTGACACTGGTTTGTTCGTATATGTCCTTTACTTAGAAGGAGAATACTTGTTATCTGTATTAGACGCGCAAGGGGAGTAGGGAGAAGTGAAGCACTCTTTGGAGTTCGAGGGGTCCCCGCACATGCAACCATTTCAAGGTGTACATATGCCCCATCTGCGTGCCCTCTGTTGTTGCCGGTAGACTCACCAGTCCGTATCCAAACACACGAACAGGACTTGCGGCCGCTGTCGTTCGCCCAGCTCACCAACGTTGAAACTACTGCTGTGCGCCCGCCCTCACATAGTCTACAGTCTTCAGTTTTATCGCTGTAGTCTAGTATACGTAATTTTGCCGGATGCTGCGCCGTGCCCAGTATGGAGTAGGTGTCGGGATGATCACTTCAGCAAAGGCGCCACGCTCCTATGCTGCTAGAAAGCCCGAGACTAGACTTTATTCTTTTGTCATACACATGAACGCCATAATTGATGAACACTTGTATAGTAAATGAGCCGTGTACCAAGCAGTGATGCCAACATCTTGGCCAATACTGTCCGCCGGCCGGGTGTATCAATCGCGCCATTTTTTTCTGAAGCTCATCAGTCACCTACCACCGTTCCCATGTCGTTCGCTCGCCCGGGTTGCCCTACAGTAACTGTTGTTTGCGTCATGAAAGTCCCAGCTTTTCTGAACAGTAACGGCAGTCCCCCACCATGGTTCGTGTTGAATGTCACACCACATAGTTCCGCACGGGAAGACAAAGGCATACATAGGTTTTCGGTATGCAGGACCGCCAGCGTCGGTCAAAAGAAATTAATTACTGTAGAAACGCGCCAATGAGGGCCAGACAGAATGTTGTCGCGAAATCGGTTTGATGCAGCACGTCGCTTGATAGTACCTGACGGCTCCCTCCCCGCAAATTGAATGCGTGGGCATGTCCATCGAGCGCCCTCCCCCGTGAGGGGGGAAATATGAACATTCCATGATTTGGACGCCACAAGGTCAGGTTTTCCCGACCGAGTACGGATGGCGCCCGCACTTACGAACCGCTTATTGGCTGCCTCACGTTGAGCACCTGTTTTTTTTTTCAAAGTTCTTGTTTCGAGCATGCATCACCTACGAAAAACGGGGTCCTTGTTCTTATTTCTACGCCGAGGGCCCTATACAGAGGACACCGGTTATTTTTGCTCGATGGATCAAACCTACTGACAGCAGCGCGTTTCATAAAAAACCTTCGTTCAAAAGTCACCTCTGGATCCAACGCACCTCGCTTCCGCGATCACCATCGTAGGTAGGGCAGAAATACAGACGCGATGCAGTATCGCCGAAAATGATGAAGCATCATGGGCAACATTGAACCGTATAGTGGTTCACAAGGGTCAAGTTCGGCGTGATTGTCCTGCCCGCTCTACTAACGCCTATCGCTCTACCAACGCCGTGCTCTTCGATGGCCGGACCTCCTACCTGCTCTATTTTGCTACCCTCAAGCAGAGCCCACGACCCTACCACCGCATCCGGATCTCCACTGTACTTGTCCAACGGCAGCTTCATGCTGCGCGTACGTTGGTCTAGCTCGAGATGCACACGGTTGTCATAGAGGATGCGGGTACGCTCTGTTGGTATGTCCGTACTTGGGAGGAGAAGACACGCTTAAACTCTCTCTGATTAGGCATCCGCGGGAGCGAGGAAAGGAAGGGAAGAAGTGGCCCTCCCGAATTCGGGGAAGGGGGCCCACACATAGTAGCCTTTTTCAGGCATACGCATGCTCCTGTCTACGTACCCCCCCCGTGCTGCTAGCAGATCTACCATGCTCGTATCCAGACACACGAACACCCTCCCCGGTTCGTCAAGCTAATGACAAACCATCAGTGGGGCATGGATACTCCAGATCTACATATGTTGCTCATACAACAACGGGTGCAAGGGAAAAACTCGGCCATCCGGATCAAAAACCCTCGCCTACAAACTCAAAACATAAAAGAAACCGTCGCTATCAC